TTTTTTTAACTAAAAAATAGATATTCTATAATAATTTCTATAGATTAGAGTTAAATTTATTTTTTCCTATAATTTATCTTTTAATAAATAATCAATCATTTTAAAAAATTAAATTACTTTTCAAAAACTTTTTTTAAAATTTAATTTTTATCAAAATTATTTTTTTCATTATTTTTTGTTTTCTTTCTTTTTCAATTGTTTTATTTATTTTATAATTTAAATTTAAAATAATTTATATGATTGACAGTTAAAATTAAATTCTTTTTTTATCGCGCTGTGACTTTCTTTGTTTTAAAATAATTAGTGAAATCATTGGGTCCTAAGTACTATAATTTTATCAAATTGACAACATTGTTTTGGATTAAAATAATTCAAGGACATGCTACCTTTGTTTGTCATGGCTATATATTAGCTTAATGCCTATGGTATATACAAAATGTATATATTTTGTTAGGGGTGAGAAAAAAATTTAAAAAATCAAAAAATTGATTATAAATTGTAATATTTAGATTGATTTGAATCAATTTTTTATTTAATTTAATTTAAGTTTGAATATTTTATATTTTAGTTTGGATTGATTTTTATTTTATTTGGTTTGATTTAAGTTTGAATAATTTATAATTTAATTAGGTTCAATTTGATCTTCAGATCGAAAAGTAAAAAATTTAAAAATATATAAATCGAACCAAATTATATAATTTTATTAGTTTTTACATATTTTTTAAATTTTTAAAAAATAAAAATAATTATTTTATATTTAAAACTATTTAAATATATTTTAAAAAATAAAAAAAAAATAAAAAACAATTAATTTTAAAATGTTATTAACATAAATAAGTAAAAGGAATAATAAAATTTATATCAATTAACATAAAATGGATTAGAAAAGTTGTAAGACATTAAAAAAGAGCTATTACAATTTTAAAATTAATGAACTGTGAAAATAACCATAAAAAACATTATTGTAACATAAAATTTTAATTGATTCTTATTTTTATAAAAATATGAGAAAAAAAAGTAATAAATAATAAAAAATCAGTAACGAAAACATGTGAGAATAAATATAAAATTTATATTATTTGGCATAAAATGGCTAAACGTGTTGCAACACATACTAAGAATAAGTTATGATAATTTTAAACATAATAAAAGATAAAAAAAACAATTGTAAAATGATATTATTGTAACATAAATAATTAAGTTAAAAAAATAAAATTTTTTATTTATTTTTGTTACTGAAATATATAAAAAATAGTTAATAAATAATAAAAATATAGGTAGCGTAAAAAGGTGAGAGAACACGTAAAATTAGTATAATTTAATATAAAATAAGTAATAAGTGTTGTAACATATTAAAAAATAGTTATAATAGTTCTAAATGTAATAAAATATAAAAAAATCATAAAAAAAATATTATTATAAAGTAAATAATTAAGTTGGTACCATAAAATTTTAATTAATTATTATTTTTATAAATATATAAGAAAAATATCTAAAATTTTTAAAAAAATAAATAGATAATATAAACAAATGAGAATAAATGTAAAATTCATATCATTTGACTTGAAATAGGCGAGAATTACCATAACATACTAAGAAAAAGCTATGATAATTCTAAATATAATAGAAGGTAAGATCAATCATAACAAGATATTATTGTAACGTAAATAATTAATCTAATAACATAAAGTTTAGATTAATTATTTTTATAAATATATAAGAAAAATAGATAATAAATAATATAAAAAATTAGTAACATAAACAAATTAGAAGAAACGTAAAATTTGTATTATTTAACATAAAATGGATAAAAAGTGTCATAGCATACTAACAAATTTTTTTGACAATTCTAAACGTAATAAAAGATAAGAACAATTACAAAAATATATTATTGTAACACAAATAATTAAATTGGCAACATAAAATTTTAATTAATTATTACTTTTGTAAACATATAAGTAAAATAGTTAAAAATTAAAAAATAGGTATTGAAAGTAGGTGAGAAAAACATAAAATTCGTATAATTTAGCTTAAAATATGTAAAAAGTGTCGAACATACTAAGAAAGAGTTATGACAATTTTAAATGTAATTGAAGATAAAAATAATTGTAAGAAAATATTATTTTAACATACATAATTAAGTTGGTAACAAAAACTTTTTAATTCATTTTTGCTGCTATAATTATATAAGAAAAATAACTAATAAATAATAAAAAAATATATAAGTAACGTAAAAAGGTGAGAGGAAATGTAAAATTCATATCCCTTGACGTAAATTAGATAAGAAGTTCCATCATAGACTTAAAAAATAGTTATGATAATTTTAAATATAATTGACGATATTATTATAACGTAAATAATTAAATTAACAAAGTAATTTTGTAATTAATTATTGTTTTGTATATACAATAAAAATAGCTCAAACTTAAAAAAAATAATATAAACATGTAAGAAGAAACATAATATTCATATTATTTAGCTTAAAATGGACAAAAAGTGTTGAAACACACGTTAAGAAAGAGCTATAATAATTTTAAATACAATGGAAAGTAATAACAATCATAAGAAGATATTATTATAACATAAAAAATTAAATTGATAATGTAAAATTTTAATTAATTATTGTTCTTATAAATATATATGAAAAATAGCTAATAAATAATAAAATATATAGGCGATGTAAAGAGGTGGAAGGAAAAGTAAAATTCATATAATTTAATATAAAATGGATTAAAAGTGTTGTAACATACTAAAAAATGGCTATAACAACTTTAAATGAAATAGAAGATAAGAATGATAATAAGAAAAGTGTTGTAACATAATAAGAAATGGCTACAACAATTTTAAATGTAATAAAATATAAGAATAACCGTAGGAAAATATTATTATAATTTAAATAATTAAGTTCACAACATAAATTTTAAATTAATTATTTTTTAAATATATAAGAAAATTAATTAATAAATAATAAAAAAAATAATAGCCTAAACAGGTTAAAGAAAATATAAAATTTGTATCATTTGGCATTAAATGGGTAAGTATTGTTAAATATTGAGAAATAATTAACAATTTTAAATATAGTGGAAGAAAAGAACAATCGTAAGAATATGTTAATATAACATAGATAATTAAATCGATAATGTAAAATTTTAATTAATTATTATCTTTATAAATATATATTCATATAATTTAATATAAAATGAGCACATAGTGTTATAACACCTTAAAAAAGATGTATGATAATTTTAAACGTAATGGAAGACAAGAATATGTATAAATATATATATATTTATTTATTTACATAAAATATTAAATTGGCAATGTAATATTTAAATTAATTATTTTTTGTAAATTTATAATGCAAATAACTAAAAGAATACTTTTAAGACTAAAAAAAGTATAAAAATAATTGTATTTTAAAATTAAAAGATAAAAATTTATTAAGATAAATGATAAAATTTGTATTAATTATTGTTGTAGTATAATGCTATTTGTTAATAATGAAGAAATAACAAAATATTATTTATTATAATTACAAGTGACATAATTATACTTGAATTTTTATTTTAATGTTATTAATTATAAAAATAGATTAAAAAGTACAAAATATTTAATTTATCATATTCTTTTAATTGGTTAGGTAAATGAAATTATTTTTATATTTTTATTTTGACTTATTTACTTATTTACTCATTTTTGTCACTTTTATTTTTAAAAAATTTATATTTTTAATTTCTCATGATATATCATGGATATCATGATATCTTAGTGAGATATATAATTGTAACTTTCGAAAGTGATTCATTTGTTTCATGAAAAATAACTTTGAAAAATAATTTTTATATTTTTTTATATTTGTTCAACAGAAAATCGGTTGATTAACAAAAACTTAGACTATTTTTTCGAAATTTTTTTCCTTTCCAGAAAAAGAAAGATAATTTTCAAAAAAAAAAATGGTTATTTATGGATAGTCCTATTTACTAAGCTCATGTTTACAATTCTACTTAAGTAGGACCTTTGATATAACTTTCTTTAAATTCAAACTTAATTTGACTCACCCAAAATATTATTTTATTAATAAAAATATTTTTATTTAATTTACTTATAAAAATTAAAATATTAACATTAAAAGTCTTATGATATTTTAATTCTAGGTATTTTTATAGTTCTACTTAAGTAAAACCTTTAACATGTATTTTAAACTTGAATTTGATTTGATTTAATTGAAAATATTATTATATTAATAAAAATATATGTTTTTAATTTGAATTAAAATATTAAAATATTAATATTAAAAGTCTTTTGGTATTTTAATTTTGTATATTATTAAACAACAATATTTTTAATATTTCAATAAAAACAATATTATATTATTATTTTAATAAATAATAATATATTAAAAATATCATTTTATTATTTTGATAATTAATAATAAATAATATAATAATATTATATTTTCATAATATGAATGTTTTAATAATTTCTTAATATTTTTCAATTGAAAATATATAGTTTTATAGGTTATTTATTAATGGATTATATTACTATTTTAAAAATAAATATAAATAATTAGTATTTTGTTATGATTTAATAATAGATACTTTCATTATAAAATATAATTAATTTAATGGTATAAATATTTTTAAATATTTTAATAATAAATATTACTATTTTAATATTATTATATTAATAAAATTACTATTTTAAATATTTTGAAATATTAATATACGTAATAATAAATAGTTTTGTTTTAAGTTTTTTATATTAATATATATTTAAATACTGAATACTATTATTAAAATAATTAATAATTTTAATAATAAATAATTTTTAATATTTTAATAATTATGCAAATATTATTTTAAAAATTCTAAAAATCAATCAAATAGTATAAAATATTTTTTATTGATTCGTTCAAATAATAAAAAGTTTCTACTTTTTTTTTAAATATAAAAATGTTTCTTAAAAGACATTTTGTGAATGTCGAGTTATGTGGAACAAAAGGAGCCTAAGCAGAGACAAACCCTTGAAACTAGTTAATGAGTTTTATAGTTAATGTTGCCGTTACTCTGTTGTCTAATCGGAAATATCCTCTTCTTTTTGCTTGCATTGCAATTGTTGAATGGAAGAGCAAGAGAGTCCAAAAACGCCCGTAGCCATAGCACAGCTTGTGTGGTTTTTCGGCATAGCCTCAACCATAAAGCTGTTACTAATCCCATCCTACCACAGCACAGACTTGGAAGTCCATCGTCACTGGCTGGCCATTACCCACTCTCTTCCTCTCAGTCAATGGTACTCCGATGAGACGAGTGAATGGACCCTTGATTACCCTCCCTTCTTTGCCTACTTGGAACGCTTCCTCTCCGCTTTTGCTCATCTTATTGACCCACAGATCGTCCATCTCCATGATGGCCTCAATTACAAAGCCAATTCTGCCATCTATTTTCAGAGGATTTCAGTGATCGTCTCAGATTTATTTCTCTTATATGGGGTTTACAGATCGACTCAAACTTTGGCTTCTTTCAAGAGAAATTTGATATGGGTTTTGGTGATTTGGTCTCCGGGACTCATAATCGTGGACCATTTGCATTTTCAGTACAATGGATTTTTGTTTGGCTGGTTGTTATTGTCAATCTCATTTTTAGCACAAGGAAGAGATGTGATGGGTGGCTTTCTGTTTGCTGTGTTGTTGTGTTTTAAGCATTTGTTTGCAGTGGCGGCTCCTGTTTATTTTGTTTACTTGTTGAGGCATTACTGTTGGGGTGGGGTGGTTCGGGGTTTTACTCGGCTTTCTGTTATGGGAGCTGTTGTTGTGGCAGTTTTCGCAGCAGCATATGGGCCGTTTGTTTATCATGGGCAGGTAATTCATCCCTTGATTTACTTTGATTTGTTCTTCTGGCTTATTCTGCAGTGAGTTTCTGTTTTAACCATATTATTTGGCCCTTTTTCTTCTCTTGATCTGTTACTTAGCTGATACCATTGTTTCTGTCTTTTCTTGTTTCTTTCATTTCTGATGGATAGAGTGGATGAGGACTAAACTTACTGCATTTAACTGGGCGAAAAAACAAAAAAAAAACAAAACCTCACTTCATTTTATATGCACGAGTTGCCTTTATTTTTGGAATTTTGCAGAATTATCGAATAGCAAAATATTGGAATGAGGTTGATATCAAAACTGATAACTAGGCTTCACAGATTTAACTAAATTTAGTTATATGTGATCTTGGTGAAATGAGAAGCTTGTGGTGCTGTAGTTTCTGGTTTTTAACCACTACCCTACTATCTCTACCTCCTGCCCTGGTTGCCCTTGTATCCTCCTCTTCTCATTCGTAGAAGGGCATATTTTTAGCAAATTTTTTGATTTCGATTATTAGTCATGCTGAAAGTACGAATGTGTGAAGCCATTAAATTACATTGACCTATTATACATGGTGCATTAAGTATACAAAAAATACCTTGCAGATACCACAAGTCATCCGCCGCATGTTTCCTTTTGGCAGGGGACTCTGCCATGCTTATTGGGCTCCAAACTTTTGGGTTTTCTATATTATGTTAGATAAAGGAATTGCTTTCTTTCTGAGGAAGTTTGGCTTCAATGTCCTGGCACCAGCAGCTTCATTCACTGGTGGACTAGTTGGTGATGCATCCCCATTTGTTATATTACCTCAGGTAAGGCTACTCAGTAAACATAGTAGGGTGGATCTTAGACATATTTGTCAATCAATTGATCCTAGGTCTATCCAAGTAGTTCATTAGTCAAGACTGATCTATTCATTCAAACCCCCCCAATCCCAAATCTCTTATCCCTTTGATAATCATGTCAGCTCAGAGGAGAGGCCTTGGCTACAAGTTGGATGGTTAGATATCAACAAGGATGCTTGGTGATATTTAACAATTGATGAGATGCCATTTCCTTTCTGTCTGAGGTTAATGTACTAAGTAATTGGTGTTATATTTGATCTCTATGCAATGGCAGATAACTCCAATGGCAACCTTCATAATGGTCCTGCTTGCCTTATCTCCCTGTCTTTTCAAAACTTGGAGGGATCCCAGACCAAGGCTGATTGCCAGATCAATTGCCTATGCATTCACATGTGGTTTCTTATTTGGGTGGCATGTTCATGAGAAAGCATCACTGCACTTTGTCATCCCCCTCGCTATTGTTGCAGTGGAAAGTTTGGAGGATGCAAAGCATTACTTCTTGCTATCTATAGGTAATGCTTCTCCTTTTCTCTGTTATCTATTGGTTGATTATTGAACTTGTACAGATATTACACTTACAGAGCCTGCTTTATGATCAGTGTTTTGCTTGGCTTCATGCTACCCATTTTGTACCATAGATGAATAGATCTGCTTCTATGATTTCAGCTACTACCTAGTTTATTTTAGTTATTACACTGCTTTCAGTCACATTTCGTCATAATTTTTATTATCAGATGAATAACCTGAAATAAATTTGTATATTAAAACTCTCTATTAGGTAGATTGAACAGAAGTTGCTCTTAAATTATAAGACTGATGGTGAAAAATGTTATCATGCTTGGATATTTCCATGACAACTTCAGTTTAATACCTAAAGTTGAATTGTGTAGGGCATCAAAATTAAAATATTGAGATGCAGTTTATCACTTATTAGCATGAAATTTAAAAAATGACATGGATATTGTTCTGTATATGCCATGCAGTGTCTTGCTACTCACTCTTTCCCCTTCTACACGAAGCCCAAGAATACCCAATAAAAGTGTTGCTGTTGCTGCTACATTCTATCCTAATGTGGTTCTGTTTTTCTGCACAATTCACCAAGAATGTATCAATGAAGGCCGGTTTACAGGCTGATAAGAAGGCCGCTCAATTTGGCTTGAAAGGAAGTTCCAGATGTGCTGCTGAGAAAGGAGGGTTTGTGCTTGATTGGGTTGCAAAGAGTTACCTGTTTGGTGTTTTGATTGTTGAAATATGGGGTCATTTTTTGCATCCTTACCTTCTTGGAGATAAGTTTCCCTTTGTACCACTTATGTTGATCTCAATATATTGTGCATTAGGGATTTTGCACTCTTGGATTTGGCAACTGAAACGGATCATGATATTGGCCTGACTTGGTACTCCCTTAGGTTGCTTCTTTTGATTCTAGTTTTATTCCTCACACTCTTGAGTAAACAAAATTTCTACTTCCCGATGAGTATAGAGAAGACAATTCTTGCTTTTACATGTGCTATTGTAGATTCTAGTTTGTTTCTCACACTTAACTATTTATTTATTATTATCATTATTATTTTTCAAATCTTTCATCTATACAATAATTGGGCATGTCCCTAATTGGATACTTACTCTAATTGAGGAGGAATTCTTGACTGAGCAAAATAATGCTCAACCAAATGGAGACGACGATAAGTTAAAAATAAGGAACAGAGTTAACAAAAAGGGAGCTGAACAACACTAAATCTATATTTACTAGCAGCACCCACACATTACAACATCATAATCTCAAGTTAAGAAACATGAAACCAAGACAATTACTACCAGCATCCTCACATTAAAACTTGAATTCTGATAGGAAAAGCTTTAGTTGGTCTTTATACAAAGATAAGTTACTGCTACCTTGTTGTGTCTCTTTTTCTAAAAGCTGGTACCAGAGATAATTGATATCAAACCCCTTTAAGAAAAAAGAATCCAGAAGTCAAAATCCACCAAAAGACCACCAATAGCATCCAAAACAAAAGAGAATGGTGGCAGCGGCAACTAATTGGTTCTATGAGATGCACAGGTCATAAAATCTTTTAGAGCTGAAAACCAAGAAAATATTGGACATGAACAGGGATATTTTAATATACCACATTCTTCCCCTTATGTTCTTTAATTTCCCCTTTCTGTGCCTTGCAATAGGTTTTCCCTCTTACCTAAAAAATATATAAAAGGTAAACAGAAAAAATCATTAGTATGCTGTATGCTACAAACCACTATTCCAAGAAAAAAGTATGGCAAGAAACAAAACTGAGATATATTTAGCACTAGCAGGCATCAGCAACTAGAACAGACTAGAGTTCATCAAAGTATGGCTAGATTATGTGCCACCGAAGTTCAAGATTTAAACCAATTAGCGAATGAATCATCATAATATAATTATAAAAATGAATATATTGTATTAAGGAGTTTAACCCAAAACAAAAAAGCATCCTAATCGAAAAGCTTGACAACATGCAAGAGAATGGGGAGTCTATTCCATTAACAATAAAGACAATCAAGTTTAAAAATGAACAAATATATTGCACATGTTTTTCAACTATAAGCATGGATAGTTGCTAAAGAAAAAGGGGGAAAACTATCAACTATAAGAACAGGGAACGTAAGAAGGCCAAGATTTATCATGTTTAGCAGATTTTATAAGGTACTTGGATTCATCACACACACGGCACTTCACCTAAATTTTTGTTAACAGTCTACATTGTTGGATAGAAATAAGCTCCAAAATGGCAGCTGAAGTAGCATAAATTCATTAATAATAATAAAATCTGGTTTATTTCTCAATAATAATAATTTAAGAAAAAAAAACCTCAGATTTAGTACACATTGAAATCAATAATGTTAGATGTCTCCCTCATAGAAAGCAGATGATAAATTGTTATTATACCATGTCAAAACATAACATGTTTGCAAATGTGGGAGACAAACACAAAAAAAAGTGCTAGCATAAATTGAACCAAGAAAGAATAAAAACAGTAGAAGAATGACTAGCTGAAATCTGTCATTGGACCTATACAAAACCGTTATGCATAAAACCTCATCAACTGGCTAATAAAATTCAACACAATAGATGCTAACGACAATTGAACCATGGTACATTTGGACTCTTGAAAGTCTAGTTATTTTCATTATCTCATTAAAATAGAGCTGAAGTGGATTGCAACACTTCATTAACATGTAATTTCCCATGGTAGAAATACCTTAGAAAGACACATGCATGGAGTTAAAATGGGTATAAAGACGAAAAGCCAATAAAATCTTAAACCTGATTGATTTTCAGACAATATGCTTCTAACCAAATTAATAATACAAAGATAGCCTCAGCCCTCAATACTTCAACCCAGCCATTTAAACAGACAGCATCAATTTTTCTGTCCCGTCACTCATTTGAATACTAACAAAAACCTTGGTTTGTGCCTCAAACTGGTCATTCTTTCCCCTCTTTTTCTTTCCGAAATTTATATCAGGAGAAGAATCAGATCAATAAGCTAACCTGTCCATGTTGTTCAAGCAGCAAACCAGGCCCAAAAGTGAATAGAATTCTATTCTGGCAATGACCTCCTGCTTCTCTGACGTAAATTTGACGACCTCTGTTGTGATTTCCAATGGACATTACTAGAACCATTTGGCAGAATTTTGGTTTTAGTCACACAATGATGTTTTCCCTTTGTGCTTTCACCTTTACCATCAGGCAAATGTGCTTTCAAGTCTACATTCTTCCTCTTATTTGTTCCTCTTCTACTAACTACTGCAGTTTCACGAGCATCTTTCCGGCTGCCCTCATATCCATACTCTTCAACAGTACTGTCACCATCCTCAATATCTGAACCAGACAAGGCATCTGACAGCTCATTGTTCTCGTCCTCACTATCATCACCACTACCACCACCTTCCCTTTTGGGTGCACCACTGGTTGCCTTCTTTTCTTGATCGTTTCCACTAGGATTAGAAAGGTGTTCCCTGACAGTGTGCATAAGATGAATATATTGATTCCTAATATTCATTAATGGATTACTCTCGATCAACAACCCCCTCTTATAGGCCTCCTTCAAAACCACCGTATAAGTTCCAGTCTTACAGGATAAGTAAAAAATGTGCGGATGGTGAAGCAAAACTCTCTTAAACCTTGACCTTATGCCCAAATACTCCCCAACACACAACACATCATCCCTCCCTGCCTTTTTTGCAACAGAAAGATTTAAAATCTCATGTAGAACAGCAGCTGCCCACTTGTCAGATTCATCTGTTTTTGGTGGAAGATGAAGAGCGTTCTCATATGGCGAAACATAAGGCAATTTCTGCCAATCGTCCCACCACTTTTTCTCCTTTTTATCCATCTCAAATCCCTTTGAAATCTTCACAGGAAATGCTATAGGCATCCCCTTGGAATACACTGATCCTCCCTCCATGTTCTTCTTTTCCAGAACTGAAACTGCCAGTTCATCACTCCAACAAACCAGCTCCAATTGACCAGAGTCCTCAGACCCAACAAGACGAAAATAATCGGGAAAACATGGGACGAGAGTTTTCAAGTAATTTTGAGGAAGACCCAGATCCCATTTCAGTATATCAAGAATCCTGATGGGTATTTTGTTCATTCTTGATATCATAAGCAGTTTCAGAAGTCTGTCAGCTACTAGTTGCTTGTAAGAATCACTCTGGTAAACCAAATGCTCTTCGGCATCAATATCGAGCACTTCTGGAGTCAGCTTGATATGGGGGTGGATTCCGATTCCACCGGGGAGGAATTCCTGGAAGACTGAAGGGTATTTGCGGATGAATTCGATGGGTCGGGAAGGGATCCTGAGGGAGTCTTTGTGCTGGGAGATTATAGAGATAGGAAGGGACTTTGATGGTTCCAATTTGATGAGGTTCTTAACATTTAGGAGCGGCCGAAGGTTCTTTTCTCGCTCCACTGCATGGTCTAGGCCACGGTCTCTCACGAATTTGATGGTTGTGGCGGCGCTGTCCCTGAAGGTTCTGCAGCCGCTGTAGCGCCTGTGCACAACATGTTTTGGAAACTTCATCGGCGGCGTTGCGCAAATGAGATGCTGAGCAAGGGTTTTGAAAGGGTTTTGTTAATTCTCAAATTTTATGTTTTAACCAACACGACAATATAACCGGCGATAAAGGTGTTCCCTAAAAATTATCATTTTACATATGTAAAAAGAGTTTGGATTGAAAAAAGTATTTTGAATTTCTGAAAAAACATAGTAATAAATTAAAATATAAAAATGCATAAAATAATAAAAAAAATTAAAGATATATAAAGATCATATACTATTTTCTTTTTCAAAACACAATTAGAGTTGACAATTCAATCTATAGTTGTTGGATTTCAATTCGATTCGATTCGATCTTATAAGATCAATTTTTTTTTAAATCGAATTTTAGGTTAGATTGGGTTGGGTATTCTTGAAAAAAAGTCGGAATCAAGTTTTATGCAAACTTGCTTGAACTCGATATATATGTATATATATATATATATATATATTTGTTTAATTTAATATTTATATATATATATATATTTTAAAATATTTAAATTTATTTAATTTTATATATTTTTTAAAAAATAATATTTTATATTACAAATTTTATATTAAATAATATTTTCTATAAACAATTATATTTTATAAAATTTTATATTAAATAATTTTTTATATAAAAAATTATATTTTAATGTCAGGTTCGAGTATAAAAATTATATTTTAATGTTAGGTTTGAGTATTAAGCTTATAAAGTTAAATTAAGTTTAGGGTAAGCAAAAACCCTCCCCAACCCAATTTATTATCATCCCTAAACACAATGTTTCACTGCTTAAAGTGTTTTTTTGTGATGCAGACTTTTTGCTTCAAATTTTTAAAAGATTTAAACAAAAAAATTTTTTATTAATTGGTATTATGAAAAGGGGAATTCTGTTTACATCCCATTTATTACTCTATAAACTCAACTTCTAAATACACCCCAAATTCAATTTTCAATTTTTTATTTCTACTAAATACACCTCATTCCTCACGTTTCTATTTTTCATTCTTACCTTTCCTCTCTTTTTTTTTCCACTTTCTGAAATCAAGCTTTTAAAAAATGAATATTTGAAAAGCTTTGAGGCTTTTCAAAAAAAAGATATTTGAGAAGTTTTAAAGATTCTCGAATATTCATTTTTAAGAAGACTTAAAGGTTTTTGGATATCTATTTTCGATAAGACTAAAAGCTTATTGGAGATTCATATCGAGAAGACCACAGAAGCTTTCAATCTTCTCAAAAATCTATTTTCGATAAGCTCGATTTCACTTTTAATTACTAAAAAACATAATCATGCTTATGAACCCATTTACTTGATCATGTGTGCGAATGGAATTGAAATTGGTGTTCTCAACATGCTTGGCATAACTTGTTCTTTTTCTTAGCCTCCAAAAAATTGAGAACACCATTTTCTAATTTTCTAGTTGTGTATGGGCAAATTGAGGTTCTTGGTTTTCTAATCCCAAGAAAAAAAATACTTTTATACCCATGCATGCTTAAGCACTAACATGTCTCTTCCATTCACACATATAATCAAGTAAGAATGGCCATATCCATGACTCATCTATGTGCATGCATTCTAGTCCGAACTTGAATACTTTATAAAACATTGACCTTAACAATGTCATCAACAGATTGGTAAATCCGGTAATAAGAACCTATAATCTTTTAGCTACCAATCTTTACTATTGAATTTATCAATCTATTGAGAACATTGTCAGTGGCACATCCAATTTTCTCGTGTCAGGCATTGATAAAAAGATTGATTTATTTTATTTTTGAAAAAGCATTATGATTCTTGGAAATGAATTTTTTTACAATTATATTGTGTTCTCGAAAAATTCATTTTTGAGATTCATATTTTTTTCTCGAAAATGAATTACCGAAAATATAATATAAATTTCGAAAATCCATTTTCGAGATAAACGAAGGTGGTTTGAGGTGTATAAGCTATTGAATGTATTTTTGTCATTTACTAAAGGTTAAAATTGTATTTGCAATGTGGATATTTTTGAAAAAAAAAATTTAGTGGTATATAGAGAATATTTTTTGATGTATTTCGAACACCCTTTATGAAAAAAATTATTATTTAAAAGAAATAGTAAATTATAAAATTAATTAAAAGGAAATTGCTATTAGTCTTTTGATCTTATTTTTTAAAGGTGAAATTTTAAGTTTTCTTACTTTCCATTAGCAGCAAATTCAATCTTAAATAAAGGTGATAACGGATAAGATCGAGATAAAGTTTTGTTTGATTTGACTTTAATTCAATTTTTTAACATTTACATTTGATTTTGACCTAATCCAATATCAAAATATTATTTTTTCCTACTTGATCCGATTTGCATATTCATAAATATTATTCGATTTGATTCTAAATTAATTTAATAATTTTAATTTAGTTAATATTTATAAAATATTATTTTTTAATATAAATTATATCTTAATTATAAATAAATAAAATATTTTTATTAAGTTGATACCTTAAAATAAAATATTAAATAATAACTTTATTAATATAACATATATATATAAATATAAAATTAAGTAAATAAAAAAATATTTTTTATATATACTAAGATCCAATTGGGATGGTGCAACTTAAAATCTAATTTTGATCCAAACTTGATGTTAGGAAAAATAGCTCGACTCACCTCTAACCCAACCTCCAATCTCAAAAAGGATTCAACCCTATCGAATCGAGATGAATTCGTCCAATTTATTTTCCCATCCCTAGTCCCAATCAACAAATTCTCACTTCCTTCCTTTTTTATGCTTTACATTCTTTTTAACTTTTCCTCTAGGCACACCTAGAGTCTCCATTCCAAGCCTTTATTACTTTTTTTGCTTTTTTCCCTATTTAATCCTCCACAAATCTTGTCTATCTTAGTGATTGTGAGAAAGTTTCTTTTGTTAAAGCTCTCGAAACTATAATTTCTTCTCTATTTTTGGCTCAATTTATGTTTTTCCTTTTTATTATGTGTTTTAATGACAAATTTATTATTATGCATTTAATTTAAGCTAATCACAATGGTTTTTGGTGAGAATTTGAAATCAATACTAATTAATATCTTTGTTATGCTTTTTTGTTAGGTGTTTAATTTTATTGCTTAAAGGGATATGATATATATATATATATATATGTATATGTCATTGAGATTGAGAAGAAAACGGTTTAAATCAAATTGCAAAGAATCCATAATTGAGAAATAAAAAGTTTGAGTCAACCCCAAATCTTGAAATAAAAAATTTACCTTTTTCATATAAAGTCTAAAAATAAGAGAAATTGTGGTAGGAAACTTTCTATTTTAGAGTAGTACTTTTAGGTGACAATGAGAAGTGTTTTAGCAAAAGAAAATAAGATAAAAGAAAAAAATTGAAAAGAGGTAAGAAAATTCTTACAATTCACATAAGGAAGGAGTTTTAGTTCAAACACTCAAATATGTATTATTTTTTCTTTTATTATCTTCTAATAATATATAAAAAAAAATTTTTACTTCAAAATTTTCAATATGTTGTTAAGGAACTAGATTTTTCAAATTTGTATAAGATGTTAAAAACTATTTTAACACCTTTATGCTGAGATGTTAGGAATTAACAATGTCATTAGAGGTAAAATCTTTTTAGTAGAACATATAGCTTGATCATTATAAGTGGTGATAGTTTTAGGAAAATAACAATTTGAGAGACATATATAGAACAACCTTCAAATTACTTCATTTGGTTGCCTTGTGTGTGTCTTTCATGTTAAGCATAAAAGTAGCTATTTTTTTTACCATAATTAAGTTGCCTTTCCATTCTTAGCGAATGCTAATTTTTATTTATACATATAGTATTTATATACTCAAATCGAATTATCATCCCAAACAAGTTAAATATAAAATACTTTTTTCCTAATCATTCTTTATAGATTTTCCTTGATTGATTGTTGAAGTTTTTCAAATAAATAAATAAATTTTATTTTTTTAATAAATTCCATGTAATTTTCCATAATGTTCAAGAATTTTAGGTTATCATTTTTAGCTTATGATTAGCTCCTATTGTTTCTTATTTCTTGGTTTATATGCATGAATGGGTTACCTTAATAAAGAAAAAAATATTAAACTTTGATGATTCTTTTAATGCTTTCGTTGCAAATTGCTAGGTTTCCTTTTAATTTTATATATGTATAATATACATCTGCTTTGCTTGCAACTTTATGCCTTGTGTACAAAAATAATTTCTCTTATTTTTAATCACATCATTCTTATTTAATTTTTTAGCTTTACTTCATTTGTAACTTTTGACTAACTCATGTTATTTATTTGTTTTAATGAATCTTAATTCATGTTAAAAAACTGAAAGAACCATCATAAAGGCCCCCATTCTAATTTCTTAAGAATTTATTTTTGGACTAATCGCTTTTATAATTACTTTGTAACATGTCAATATGATAGCAACCCATAAGAAATTGCACAAATGAAATAAAGCTTAAGCTAATAGATAACTAGAGATATTTGGCATTTAAGTCTTTAAAATGACATCAATTGTTTCATATATATGCTATACATAGCAATATATTAAATCATAAATAATGGTTACAATTGTCTTTTTAGAGTATTATATGTATTTGCACACATTGAAGAAGTTATCAAACATAGTTTTATCCTACATTAATTTTTGCTAATGTCTTAGTGATCAAATCGTGTAGGTGATGCATGGGTTTAAGTTTAAAATCTTACTTTAACATCTAAAAGTTACTTAGATAGGTCATTTATGTAGTTTGATATAAATATTTATACAAAATAAATCAAACTAGAGTGTTAAAAATCTTTCTTTTGCTATAATTATAATGTACAAATATTTATGCTCAATGTACATGTAATTATGAAACATGTACATATGTTGTAATTACAATGTACATATATATATTTATATGGTATGTTATAGATTTGTGTATATAACTATAGATTATTTTGTGTTTATATAATTAATTCATATATAAATACAATGTACATATATTTATACTCAATATATATGCATTTATGAGACATGTACATATGTTATAGTTTTTAACTACATGGCTACATGCTACTTTGTGCATGATATTAAGTTACAATTTAGGCTA